TTCACACTTCACCTTAATATACGTATTTCAGACCAGTCACAGCCTCTCAAATCACACATAAAAAAGGCAGAATCACATGGGAATCTTCCTCTTGTATTACTGCACACAGTATAACATAATAAACTGTTGTTAAATCACAAAAGTAAAGAGGGGAAGGAGGAAAACAAACAACTTATTGGCTATATGTATGTGAAAAAAAGTAACTCATTAAAGTATCGCCAAAGTATCGATTATATCTTTAGGAATCTCACCATGATTTTTTCAGTCCCTGATTCACTAATTCTTCTGACGTCTTTCTGTCTTCATCCTTTTTAGGCTGATCTTCTTACAAGGATAATCAATGTATCCCTTGAAGTGAGCTTTCTCCTTAAAATTTGCATTTTGTTTAACTCACTACGTCCAGCTAAGCATGCTTTTGGAAACTGCAACCAGTCAGATAGTTTAAGGAACTGGGTAACCTTTCCTGGTTACATAATGGACAAGGCTATTTCCAATAACATTCTCTCCTTTCAAAGCTATCTGTTACCAACTGTGTAGTAAGGCATGTTGGACCGTTTTCAGTTTCACTGTGAGAGAAGAAACTAAGCCTTCTTAGCAGAGAAACGTTAGAACCGCTGCCTTAAATCAGATGCCAGAATCCTTATTCCCATTATTGCTCCCACAGTACTTACCTTTTTACTCATTGTGTCTTCATGTTCAGAAAAATAAAAGGAAAGAATAATTTATGAGAAGGTAAGTCAACATGGGGGAAAGAATCCAAATTTGATCAAATTGTAGGAGTATGGCCATTGGAATTAGGAGAGCAAAAAGACTCTCTCTTTTGTTGTTCATGTTTGCGCTACTGGGTTCAGACAGTGTGGATGAGAAGATTGAGAAAAGCGGCCTCAAGGATGGCAGAAATTCCAGCGGCAGATAGAAGGACTTGAGATCATGAGGAAAAATCACAGTGGGATGGACCAGCCAGAGTATTTCATAGTTTCACACATGAACAAATAATGTTAAAAGCTTCAGTAGACATAATCAAGTCATAGATGCATATATGCTGTTATGTATATAAAATACATTATGTCAGTGTCAAAAACTATTGTGGCATATGGGAGTACAATGAATTCTACAGCTGCAGTTTATTTGCTCATTTCCAGATAGAAAAGCATTAAGAAACTTTGCCAAGACAAACAAACTGAAGTGCAAATAGACTTTTAAACTGCATTAACATATTAGAAGAACATCTGGTGCAAAGACTGTCAGGTTTCCATGCATTCTTAGATAAGTATTTATGGTTAGTGTTTCAGCTGCATTGGGAATTTTTTTTATGAACTGTGCTCACAGTTCATAAATGTTCAAGGAATGTTCTCACAGAATGGATAATCATGAATGAGCTCTCAGTATAAATTTCTCACCACCAGCACTGCTTTGCAGTGCATCTACAGCTCTAAATCCCTGATATACAACTGTACTGTTAGCTTTTGTGAGGACAATAAGTAAGCAGGCTCTATACAAGCTATCAGTTATAGTTGAGTCTTGACAAGTCCTCTGATCCACCAGTAAAATAGAATTAAAACTCATAAATAATATGATAATAAGACAGACAACAGTGAGAAGTAAATCTTGAAATACATTTAGTAAAAATATTGAGGTATGTTTAACAATGACCTGCACAAATTGGGCTGGTGGTCACTGTGGTACAAAGAGCTGGAAGAGGGCAAATCATATAGCATCATATATTCCCAGACAGAATAGCCTAGAAACTCTGTGGTACTACTACCCAGAAAGATATAACCAGAACATGTTCAACCTTTGCTTATAAAGTATATCTGCAAGTGTGAGATCAAAAGGACCTTTCAGTTCTTTCTCCATATGATCTTAAACTTTCCATACTTACACAGAAGGTGTGAAGAGGACAGTGACAAATGTAGTGCTTTCATTTTACCTCTTAAGTGTTCCTAGAGTTACAGGTCAGGTCCTATCAGTGTAAAAAAATCTGCTTCCCTTCTTTTTGTCAATGAAATCGAAAAAATGCAAGTGTTCGGTAAAACATAAAATTCTTTGTAATACAGATAAAATTTATTACTACTAGGTTCTGCTTGGTCTGAATTGCAGCAAATAACAACTGCAAGACTGACAGAAGTAAGGTAGAGTGTTTAATCTGTCATTAGCCTGTGAGATGAGGTTTATAGAGAGACATAATATCTTTTACTACATCAGCTGATATAATTGAAAAAAAAATGCATTAATAACATACAGTCCCAGGCATTTGTGGCACATTACTGATGTCGGCAGTATAGCCATTACTGTAACTCTGATGTATCTTACAATCCAGTTGCTGACACTGACATTAAGACTGACAGAGGTTTTTGCACCAGGTGGACCAAAAAAAGTTATCATAATTTTCTCTTACCTATGAGACAGTCAGGCACATTGTATCTTACAACTGTTTAAGTCTACCTCTTACAAGCAGAAACCCTGAGATTGTTATTAAAGAACGTTACTCCCAAAAGATGAAGAATGTCTGATTTTGCTATAAATACTGTGAATTAAATTTAGAACCTAATTTCATCCTGCCACTGTTGTTTGGTATCTGTCAGACTGAGGTCAGGAGGACATTCTCATGGTATATTTCAAATTTTTAATTTTTGTCCTCATGGTACGGTTGGCAGGATCCTGCAAGGTTCCTACAGAATTAAACTGATGCTCTGCTGAGTGATTTGTTGGGCCTACAGTGTGAATACCATAATTTGCATGAACTACCTACACTTTTCAACTGCCAGTTCTGCACTTAAACACCAGTGCACATTAATCCCAACTTGCAATACCCTGGGTACTACACTCCTTGGTCTATTCCAAAGTGAATGATAATTCTGTGCTAAAATACATGACGATTCTTCAGTGTACACAAAACTTCATACTGGATCAAAAATATGAGAATTTAATTGTCATATTATTGCCAAGCAAATGAAAAGCAAAGTCATCAAATATACAACGTAAGGGTATTAACCATTTAGCGTTTTGAGATCATTAAATTAATGCTCCTCAAACACACAAAGCTGACAAACATTTCATCATCATAAAATCATTTCAAATCACTTTTGCTGACTATAAAATTAAAAAAGATCTTTATTTATATTAGAAGACACATTTTATTCCTAAAACAAACTGAAGTGCTTTACTTCAGCTTAATACCTGTCTGATACTTGGTCAGAGTAACTTTCTGAAAACATCCCTAAAGAAGCTTTTAAATTTGGAAAAAATATGTTTGAGATGACTCAAGGTTCATATCATATATTAATAAATTTTCAAATGTGACTTATGTACTTATGTATTCGTATGTAATGAAGTTTTTATAGGTTGTATGTTTTTATACTATTTTAGAAAGTGAAGTAAGTTATTTAAAAATATAAAGTACATCTTACTGAAATTAAAACATGAATATTCTTGTGGATTTTACTAGATCAAATCAGGCAGAATAGAAATATCAAAAAATCAAAGATAATTAGCAAGGTAAAAGCAGGATAACATTAAGTATTGCTACCTGGATAAAACACATCGGTCATAGTAGCAAGGCCATATGTGGCAAAAGAAAATTAAAACTGTTGGTGGCATGCACACTACCATTTCACTTAGTAGCCCCATACAGATGTTTGTGGACTAGAGACAGAACTTATCCATAAGGGATAACACCAGTGAGTGATCCTATAGCAGAGGTGTAGCTTTTGATAACTGTTTCTTTAATCCTAGGGTCCTTCAATTTTAAAAATAAAAATATTTATCTTTCACTATAAAAAATAACATGGCTTGACCAATACATCCCTTTGGGAATAAAAGGACACTAAGTTTTCCTTAACGTTATAATTCCTGACCCACATTACACGTTGTTTGGAAGGAAACGAATCTTTATTTGGCTATGCTGACTGTCCAAAACCACCAGGAGATCCAGCAGACTGACAACGTGCCTGCTTAACATCCACTGACAGCAAGGGACTGCTCATTTGATTACTAAAGCAATGTTCAGTTTATGCCCTTGTCTGAATTTAGTGTATGTCAGTTCTAGGACAATAACACAGATTAGTTACAATGACATAACATCAAAAAAGTTTTCCCAAATATAACAGTATAAAGTTCATTAAATTTAACTGTGAAGGACTATATACAACATGACACAAAATGACAGTCAATGTATAAAAATGAATAAAAAAAATCTAAAAACCAAATTTCTTTCTCCTCAAGAGAAATAGATATATACAGGTGACAAATACCCACCCTACTTTAAATCACAGGAGTAATACAGTATCTACCTACCAACACTTCCTCCTGCAAATTAAGTATGCTCCACATGAGCTTTTGAAGCAAAACACTGTTCCTGAAATTTTCTGTAGACTACCATAAAAATATAACTGGTATGTAGACAAAACAAAATATGATTCAATGGGCATTATACTAGGTGGGTTTGCAAACTGAGAGATGTTTCAGGAAAATTAAAACAGATGACATACCATGTTGCTTGAATCACAGTTTGTGCTGTACAGTAATTTGGACTGGGCTTTCTGTTATACAAGAGGAGAGCTAGTAAGGAAAGGATATATACAAAGGATATATACACTTTGGCAACAGAAAAGTTAAGACATTATATCAATATCAGAGTGGTAGTAGTTAGGCAAGGGAAAGGTTTGGTACTGTATTAACTTGATTAGGAAAAAAATTTCACATTCAAACATTTGGTCCACTTGCTCCACTTACCTGTGATAGTTTACTGCCTGTTTTTACGCTTATTAAATAGCAGATAGGCTGATGCAGGTTACTTTTTTGTCCATAAGTTTTAAAAATATATCTTTAAATGCTAATTTAAAAAATTTTTTAAGTAGAAAATAAGAATAATTCCCTTCAACTTTAATACATTCTTCCTTTTTCTGCACTTTGAGTTGGGAGGGAATGAGACTTTGTGACTTTGTACCCATTTCAATATACTGACATATAGTTTATAAGAAATAACAAAGATTTCCTACCTTGACGGACTGACTGTAAGGTCCTATACTAGCAGGTGCCCAGTGAGAAATGCTCTGTACATGCATGACCAGTTTCTCATCATGCAACATGTCATCAGTTGCAATGTCATACTTATGTGCAAGGCAGTCAATGCAAAACAGTACTCCATCAGGTAACAGGGTTTCTATACATACTCTGAAAACACAACACAGTTATCTTTGTCAAATAAAGTTTGTCTGCATCAACGTTCAGCATTTATTTTCCATGTTTTTTTGGATACTGTGTTACCAAATTTGGTCAGGAACACATAACAAAGCTATAGTATCACAATACCTAGCTAGCACTTCCATGGTTATCTCCTCTCCAACAGATGTTCAATTTGAGACTTCCGGCAAGTTAGTTTCTCCTTGATAATGCAGATGAATATCATAGCTAACGGCCCATTTCCATTTAGTTATTTTTATGATTTATTTCATTTTATTAATAACAAAGATGTGAGTTCTGTTATAACCATGCAACCCTAACCATGCAACTATATAAAAATGCCAGATAAGTCATACTAAGCAGCCTTCAGACTGTGTCTATATCACTGTTGTATTCTCACTCCCACCCATTTGTCATTGAATCTCCTGCTAGCTGGACTACAGATTCAGTTTTCTAAACAGCAGCAGCTTACTGTTTCTTCACAGCCTCCTCACATGTTATGATGCAATACTGAATGTATTTTTCTATCATATGTTAAGTTGCATGACCTGCACATATTTGTGACAGAACTGAAAACCTACTTAAGCATTCATTTAAAAAGTTCACTTTTGTTTGCTCCAAGCAAGACTGCGTGTGCCTGAATGGCCAGACAGATAGCCTGTTGCAACTGGCCAGTGAAAAAGCAGTGGAAAAAAATTGGCATTTCTTAGCCTGAAAATTAATTATATTGGCAGTCCACGAATATCATATAATACAACCTTACAAAAATCTTCTTGCTTGTTTCTTCCCAGAAAACTACCTTTCTCCCCTGTTGCCCCATGCAAATAAAGTATTTTTTCCTCATTACCATCATCATAAGGACGGGTGAGTACATTTTCTGCTTGGGCTGGTAAATTTTCAAGACCATTTTGCACATTTAGTGCAAATCCACACCCTTGAGTCTGTGCTTCTAGCATATTATACTTGTGAGAACTCCCACTGCCAGGTCTCTGTGCATAATGCAATTATGTGGCCATGCAAACTGCCACATAATTTTTCTTTTGGCCAAAATGCAACATAAATCTGTTTCTTCCACATAAATAATCATAAAAAGCCATTTTCCTGCAACCTTCTAATCTTTCTACCTGTTATTTTATGACCTTTCCAAGAAGTGATGGAAGCCTATGCAGCTGGCTTATGTAAATGTGGAGGCTTAAGACATACAGCAGCATGAGGAGTGAAGGAAGCTAAATCTGGAGAAGGGTAAGTACCTTTCAGAGGACTTAAGATACAAAGGACTGGAGATTCATTTTGTGTATTTCACAGCTGGGAACAGATCTCTGCTCTTAAGGCACACAAAACCAACATTCCATCCCTCTGTGGTTTAGTAATCTTGGACTATAATTAGCATCTCAAAGAAGCCTCTTCGGGCTCTCTTTAGCCTCTGACACCCAGGTGGTAGAGATGGTTAGGAGAATGTGAATCTATTATGCTATACATTATCTTAACAATGTCTTTTAATTATAACCACATCATACTTAAAAGTCAATGACTATACTATACTTCATACTCTGTAATAAAAATAGAATATATATCATTTTATGTTACAAAACCGCTAAACTTAAAAGGCACCCTGTACCCCCACATTTTATTAGAATTAACTTTATCTGCAGCAAATAAAATACACACAGTGCCAGAGAAAGAATATCTCATCATGGAAATGTTAACCACAGACATAATACCGTATTTGCAATATTATTTGGAATAAAAAAATGCTCTATCACTTTTCTTACCACCCAAATACTAAAACAATGTATTAGTTAATAGACTCTTTTCACAATTAGAAGATATTTTTCCATAATATTTTTAAAGTGTCTTATCTAAAATAAAGAAGGATAAAGAGTATTTCTATTTTAGATGGCAAATTGTATCACTTAAGCAATACAATCTTTTAGCATTTTGCCTTCCCTCCTGATTTGTGTTACTAGGATGATATTTTAGTTTTGGCGCTTCTAGACATAGATGAAAAATGAAAGGTAGACCAATAATATATCAAGTATTATGGAGCAATGGTAACAGATAACATTTGATTTTTACTATGGTACTTTTATATTGCATAACCCTTGATATATATCGTATATATATCACTGTGCTCTGTAACAAATTTTGTGTCTTTCTCAACTGGCTGCATTTTGTATAAAATATAGAAAGATTTTATAAATTACAGGGGAGGATATTAATAAAGATGCATGGAAATTTGTCTTCGGAAACTGTTCAGAGCAGTGAGTTCTACACAAATGCAATTGCTAGTAAAATTATTAACTATTAGCTATTCAGTCTGTTAGCCTGAATAAAGAATAAAACCCTTCCAGTTGCACAACAAGAAAAAGTAAAGAGTCTGCTTCTTTTAAGATACTTTGTGCAACACTAAAATTGACAGAGTTATTTTTATTTTAGAGTATTTAATATATTAATATTTTAATTAATCATCTTGAGCAGGGGTGAGTACTGAGATAATAAATTCAAAGAATACAAGATTAGACGAAATAGAAAATGCAAGTATACTTGTTCTAGCGAATCACAATCCCTGACAAAGATGTTCAATGAGAGGGAAAAAGTGTGGAATCAACAATTATGAAAGATAAAGAGACAAGGGTCTGAAAAATAACGACATCCAAAAAAAAATCAATATAATTTGGGAAAGTACACATACAGGCATCACATAAAAGAACAGGGTGGACTTCTGCCCTATATCTGTGGTAAGGAAGAGAACTCAGCTACAATAGGTACTGACAGTCTGGTCAGAATCCAGCAGAAGGTGACAACTACAACACTGAAACACAGATTAGAAAAACTGACCTCACAGAAAGATTAGAGGAGCTCAACAAAAAAGATCACCAAAGGCCTCATCTTGACAAGAACACCTTGTCTTACAAACTACTAAATCACAAATTAGTACAGAACCAAATGAAACTTGGGCTTTTCTAGAAGGTTAAGAGGTCCTACGGTTTGTATATGTGATATAATGGAGAACGATATAGAGACTCCTGCTAACAAAAATGGAGCTGGGATGTACAAATGGTACTATATTTTACTGGGTGGAGGTACCAGCTGAGTTCTAAAAACTGCATGTAAGGCCCTTCTATTATGTTAATGATTTCACCTAATAAGTCCTCCTCTTATTCACATTAATCAGACTGAATGCAACAATGCTACCAATTCTGGTGCAGCTGGTGGAGCTGGCGGCTCCAGCTTCTCTGTGCTGTTTCACTGCCTGGTGTAAACAACTAATGTGCCTGAAGTCATGGTTCACTGAAGATTAACAACAGCCTACAAACCTTTGAAGGGGAAGAAATCAGTATAGTAGTTCAGCCAGCCATAAGCAAGGAAGATGGAATGTATTCAAAACAGAAAATGTAGGCTGAGTATCAGGAAAGATTTAGTTTCAGATACAGGCCTAAGTAACAGATAAGACGACGTTTTAGTGGAAAATACAGGTCTGCAAACCTGACTTAAACTAGCTCAAACCTGAAACCTAGGGAAAGGACTGGGGTAGTTTTTATTCAAATAGTAAGTAACCTGAGTCAAAAAAGCTGCTGTGGAACTCACCTTTCAAAATTAAGTAGCATTTTTATCCTAATTTATTGCCGTATCTTTCCTACAAAAAAGACTATTACCATTAATGGCATTTTCATGAACTGAATGACTGTCATCTCTGCTCTTCACTCTTCCATGTATATGTTAAAAGTTTGAACTTGATTTAAAAAACATGAACAATGGGACATGAGGTCTGACCTCATAGGTGACCCTGCTCTGAGCAGAAGGTTGGACTAAATGACTACCAGAGGTCCCTTCCAACATGAATTATCCAATGACCCGGTTTGAATCTTTCAAACCATAGAAAAGACGATGCTCTATTCATGCCTTCCAAAAGAATGACTAAGGCAAAAAGACAAAAGAAGGTTTTGTAAAATCTTTTTTTTTTTTTTTAGACAAAGTAATCGACAGTCTAGTAATGCACAAGCAAACAAAAAAAACCCCCCTAAACCTAAAATATCAATACAAAAGACACACCAGTTCAGCCAAGTTACAGAGAGGGATTGATACTTGAAAAATTTTATTATAGTGCTATAAGACCATATGGGGGGCATTTATAAACTTTATGGAAAATATTAAGTCAAGAACTTCAGCTCTAGTGTTTTTGAGATGAGCACCCCTGATGTAATTACTCTAAAAGGCAGCAAAAGTATATTTCTGAGTCTGTGAGACACAAATATTTGTACAAAAGCTTCATAAGTATGGTGCCAATAATACAGTATATTACAGTGTATCATAAATATACTATAGCAATAGTCTAATCCTACCTTGCTGGTGGACACAAATCAAATTCTGTCACATAAGCTGAATTTATAACAGCAAAATCTTTCATGCTCTTCATATACAGATGTACCAAAATAATATCTTTCAATTTCAATCCCTCTGAAGTCATATTAGCTGCAAGATAAAAATAATGTAGCTGTTAAAAATAGAATATTTTAAATGTGTGTAAAAGACAGCAGAGGCATCTTATCTTGCGTCTGTTCAACAAAAGCAAATGATAATAACCCAACACTTGTCTACACACGACTGAAAGCTTTTGCAACATGCTACCTATCCCCTCACAGTACCCAGTTTTTCATGAAATTCTTTTTCAAGTTCATTTTCTGCTTATATAGAGAATATAAATTAATATTACCCACCCTTAATAAAAATAATTTTTGCTTTAATATATCATGCCATTAATGCATGCGCACACACACATACACACACACACATACATACATATACATATATGTGTATATATATATATAAAAAAAACTGACAGTCCACATTCTTTGTACTTATATGCTTTATCTTGTATTTTCTTTTCAGACTATGACAGGTAGTAAATTATAAAGCACTTGGAATCACAAAAGTACAAAACTGGGAGAGGACAGCAGGAGGCCATTTAATCCATCACCCTCTTCAAAGTCAAGATCAAGTATTCATATGCTGTTCCAGAGGGATCGTTGTCTAAACTGTTTTTTAAAAAACTCTTACTGCAATAATAAGCTCTACATAAACAAAGAGTTATAAATGGCAAGACAGACAGCAGGAAACAGAAGTGGCCATGACAGAAATGAGGGAAAGATGATAGGAGAGAAAGACTCAGCTCAGGGAAAGAACTTGGGAAGTCAGGATCAGCTAAATATGTACACAGAGAAGATTCAAGCCATAGCACTTAAGGAGACAGAATCTACTACTCTTACACACCGAATACCATAACAAGATGTGTAGGATCAGCTCAGCAGGTCTGCAGTCTAGTCCCATTATAACTCATGGGCAACAGGAACTAAATTAAGAACAAAGTCTTCTCTGAAAGATGTGAACACATATAAAATATATAAAATAATCGAGGGCCATGTGACCTAACTTGAAGTGAGTGAGCTACTTAAAACTCTTCTCAGTATTAACTTCGGCGATCTTGCCCTTTAGGGTTATAGTGTGCACATATATATCTTTTTTCCAGTGGAGCAGTACACAAGAGTAAAGATAATCTATTGGCTGTTGCTTTAGTGAGAAACAAATACTTTTTGTGTAAAACACTTCTGTGCTTTTAAATACAGTTCAGGAGCTGGCACACTTCCATTAAAGTCAATATGGCCATATCAGTACTGGATTTTGCTCTATGCCCCAGTTTTACTTAGTCATACTGCTGTTTCTTAGTTTCGGCAATCTAAAAAGGGGAATTCCCAGTAACAGAAAAGGAAAATGTGTGTAAGTAAGTGATGTGAGAAACTATAATGCAGTTGACATAAAACTCCTTCAAAGTCAAGGTACAACAGCAGAAGTACCAGCTGAAAAATTAGCATACAATGATAATTCTGTATTTGAAACCTGCCTGATGGCAATCACTTGGTCAATACCAGCTGCTATGTCATCAGTCAAGAAGGACATAAGGATATTTTTCAAACTTCCAGCCAGTATATTATTTTAGTCAATAAGAAAGAGTTTCAGTCTGTAATTAAAAGTTTTGTAGCCTTATCTGGAATATTTTGAGAAAAAAAAAAGTATGTCTAAATTTAAAATGCTAAAGTCACAAAGCTAAACCTAATTTGTAAACACGTAACAGTATTTGCAAGTTGAAAGGAAAGAGATTTGGCTAAATTCATAAATTCCAGCTTTATATAAAATATCTTCTTAAATAAATTAAAGGTAGAATCCTCTTGTCCTCTGCATGTGTTAGAAAAACGATGGGAAATAATCTCTCCCCAGCTTGTAAGCAGAATAAAATTGACCTCCCAAAGCATTGTATCTAGTAGTAAGGCATAAATGATGAACCAGTTACCAGCTCACCACTTGGGTTCTTGACCCACAGCAAGTTCTGCACAGTTCAAGGATGTACCGGGAAAGTATACAGCATTTATATTGAATTTCAAACCACTCATTGTTCCCAATAATTTATAAAATATGATCAGTAAATGAGACTCATTTACTTTGATACAACTTCTTCTGACAAAAAGTAACATTGGCCAGAATATAGCTTAATTTTTTTAATGGGTGATCTGAGTAAGATCCTTAGGCTGAAAGCTACAAAAGACAACATCAATATTGCCTACAGCAGGTAGCATTCTAGACTAAATTTTTATGTAGTAAAAATTTATGTAGTTCTCTTGATGCCTATGGAGCTCTGCCAAGGTATAACTGCACCAGAGCTGCTTTACATTAAGCACTGCAGTCTTTGTCATCTTCCAATCACCAGAAGAAAAGTTTAAATAAATAGTTTAAGAAAATAAGTGTAAACAGTCATGTACTGAATTCCTTTCTCCTGGTCTTGGTTTTATGGAGGAAATCTATCCACTTTTCAGAACAACTGCATGCTTCATATGGTCCAGACATAAATTTCCATTTCTGAATCCTTTTGGCAACATTTATCCTCTTTAGAGGACATTAAATCAATTAACCCTGCAAAGAAAAGGTTAAAAGGACTGTGCCTATTCCATTCTCTGACGGAACTGAACTCCTATACAGACTGTAAGTGTCTGGAGCTGAAAAAAAGCCTTGCACATATCTGCAGATCAGTCAAGTTCTCAGGAAAAAAAATGGCAAAAGAAGCATATTGTGTTTTCTGTGCATGATGGGACCAAAATTCATTCATTTTTCTACACTACCTCCAGAAAGGTAAAAAACCCACGCAAATGTGAGAACTGACATTTTCTTCCAAGGATGAGTAAACAAAAATTCCTCCTGCAGGGAAATACAATACAAGCTAAAACGAGTGCTTTGCTGAAAGCAATAGGCTACTGAGGCTAGTCAGATTAGTCGTCGTCGTCGTCTTCTTCGACAGATGCCAAGGTAAAAACATGCAACGTTTGTACTGGCAGATTTCTGTACAAATATTATGAGAATCAAATAAAATGTTATGGAACACTTTTGCTTCAATTTACAGATTATGCCCAGAAGATTTACACAAAACATTGCGGCCCTTCACTAAAAGTTTGATTACACCCACCTTGCTGATTTCCAAGCTATTAAAATTTAGCTTAAGGGCTCTCTCCAAATATGACTTCTTTGCTTCCTAAAAATTGCTAGGGTTTCTTTATCATTCTGTATTCAGTCATGAACTCAGCTGCACAAGCCAAACATAAAGATTTTATGGGGCAATACATCATGAGAATTCGTGAACAAGAATATGAGCCTACCGATTTAGATACCAAGAATTATTTCAATTTTTATGAATGAAAAAGAAGGCTGCATAAACATGCCTTATTTAAAGATTAAAGTGAAGAAAGATGTGAAACAAAATGTGAACATTTTGTTTTATACATCAATGTCTTGTAAGAGTGGGATAGTAAGGAATCTGGATTCCATGATTCCCAAGACAGTGATTTCTCCATTACATTAAGTATATAAATGAGATTTACTGCCGCTGACCTAATCCTAGATGCCAAAATGTGCAACAGTAACAGCTTTCTTGAAAACTTAATTTTAAATTATGATAGCTACAAAAGTGCTTTAGCAAGTAGACAGCATACATAGCACACATGCACACTCACACACATAGTATATATTGAAAGAAAGTTATAAAACATAAAAGTACTGTGAAAACAGTGTTGTTACAGTGATACAAACACAACTCTGGCTTGGAGGGTTTTCAAAAATGGGGTGAATTAAAATGCGTTTAATATTAAAGCCAGCAGTTGTGATACCATGATCCCAACTGAAGGGCAAGACAAGATGAAAAACTGAAAAACACAATATTTAAAGTTTTAAGAACATACAAAAATACAAATTCTTTATTTAATACTATAATAAAAACAGCATTATTAAAAACAGATTAACTGAATAAAGCACCTTGGAGGGCAGAAAATGCTTCCCTTGCTGCATCTTGAGCGTTTTTGCCTTCTGATGGAAGAAAGTGGGCAGTGAAACCTGAAAACCACTGGTAACCACTCAGGGATTTTCCTGAACTTCCAAATGTCTTAGCTATGGGAAATGAAGAACAGCACTATGATTACAATGATGAAAAATACCAGGTTAAGCAAAAATATCTTTTAAATTTCTAGATAAGAAGAACTTCTACAGAAAAAAAATCATAAATTATTAAAACACCTTCAACACTCCTTTACAGACAAGCAGATATAAAACAATTATTAAAAGCAAACGTGCTGGTGTCAAAGCTTCCAAACAGCATTTGACAAATCCTTCTCCAACACTGTCCTCAGAGTGTATGCTTAAAAGTATTACTTAGCTGAGGATTTCAGTATTTTTTTACTCCTCCTTTCCTTGTTTTGCTGACCTTTTACAGTTTCTCAAGCTGTACTGATATAGATGTGGCACTGAAAAGCAAAAAGTTAAAAGTATCTGAGTGACACAGGAACAGGTTTTCAAAGTTGTCTGCCAAATTTTATAGGAAGTTAGATGGTTTAACCTAACATAGTCAGGTATTTTTTAACGTAAATACCATTTAATATGAAACACTGTGACACAATGAAACTTAATTTTCAGGAAAATTTTTTTGATCTTTGGGTTTAAAGCCACAGTGATGCTGTGGTAGTTCAATGAGATACTACCCTATGAACCCATGTTTACCTTGCATCAATCACCTCGTGCTTGAGGCAAAGCTAATATCAGGCATATAATTAGTTACTGAAGCTCACCTAAAAGACAGTAACTTGTTAGGCTGCTTAACTCGATCATGCATGTGACCCTGAGACTATTTCTACAAATGGGACAGGCCTATATACCAGAAAAGCAAGTTAGAGGTGTGTTTTATACTTAGAGTTTGCTGTTCTATTTTCAATTTGAAAACTGCAGAGTTAGAGTACAGGTGTTCGTATATTCCTTAAAATAAAACTCATTCCTTCTACTCTAATGAATGATTATATTATAGTAAATTTGATCAGGAAAACAGAACACATTAAATAAGGTTGATATATGATTTGATACGAAATTTGGAGCACTTTCCAATACAAAATTAAAAAAAAAAAAAAAAAAAAAAAAAAAAAAAAAAAAAAAAAAAAAAAAAAAAAAAAAAAGATGGGTTATCCTTCTTCTGTAAAAGAACTTGGAAATGCTTCATTACTGCAGATCTATAAATAGAGAAAATTGCCTTATTCTAGGATATCTTTTTCTTCAGACTTTCTATTAAAGGTCACAAACATTCTTTTAAGGTGTGTTCTTACAGTACTTTACATCATACTCTCCCAAAAAGAAATAATGTTACTTTTCTAGTGACGGAGTTGTGCAAGACTCACTGAAATCCAGAGAATTATGTTTCATGTTTGACTTCCAGATGACAGGAGGGATTGTCTGCAGTTCACCCGCTTCTGATGAAGGTAAAATATTGGAGTCATTGCAGCTTAGCTCACAAGAACAGCTACTGACCATGAATGTGTCTGAAGATTCCCCCTGCTTGAGACAAATATTATACAAAAAGCACCTAAACAGCAGGCCAAGCAGTGTGAAATTATCAAACATTATCATTTAAATGTTCTTGGTTTTTGATATCAAAATATCCTACAGCTCAATATACACTTAAACTTAGAACAAGCCATGGAAGAACAGTAATAGGATTCCCAACTATTTAGGCTGCAAATTAGCAGAACGAAACATGCTCCTGTTTACGCACCATATGGAATCAAAATGCAGACTTAGCAGTACATAAGAGCAATAGATATGAGAACTGATCAGAGATCAAGATAAGAGGTAGAAACAATTGTATGATGAATAAATCTTACTCCACAATTATGCAAGAAAAATGTATTTTCCAAAAATGGAATAAATTAAGTGAAAAGAAATGAACAAGAGTGTAATAGCAATCATTTAATAACAACACTGTCACTAAGTATTTAAAACTGAGCAAAAAACTAAAAAGAACATTTAAAAACCTTGTTGATATTTCTATTCAAAGACTGAATCTTGAGTGAATGCAACCACTGCAAAAATTTCTTTGCCTTCATCTCATGAAAAGCCTGTCCATTTGCATCAAATTCACTACACTTTGGGATGCTCAGAATTCTGAGATACAGAGAACAGCATTTCCCAAGATTATACTTCAAGGTAGCTTTTTGACCTATAACTGTTCAGTGCATAAGGAAGGAAAATAATTCACTGGGCCTTCTCTTCTTGCTAAATGCTTTCTTGGGCCTAGTAAGAGAAAATTACTTAGTAAACCTTTTAACCCAAAAAGCACAGTCAGAGCGTGCGCTGACCAGACTTCCGAAATATCGCGTTCGTTATGTGTTCAACAAGTCATGTAAACACAGCAGGCATATTTACTTTTTGCTTTTACAGCAACAATCAGAACCACAACTCTTTGCCATCTGATTTCCCAAGACAGCATAATCTGCACAGCATGTTGATTTTGGGATCATTAGCTTGGTTAATACTACTTGTCTTCATCTAAAAACAATATGAATTATGTCAGAATTTGCCCATAAACCTTAGCCAAACATGACTGCATGCTGTACCTCTAGATTCTGTCAATTAATTCGCTGCTCAAAGCTCTTAAATTTCATATAGTGTGCAATATATGTATTTTATTGCTGTTTTCTTAAATACTAAATTCACAAAATGATGATGAAGTCAAAGAAAGCAAGATAAAAAGGGGGCAAAATATGAACTATTCAGGAATCCTTAAGTATGAATTAGACACTGTTGAATATTCTTTTACCTCACAAATTATGCACTATCTAAGCAATGTCATGCAAAAACGCTATGGAAAAGGGAATACAGGGAAGCACTCCTAAATTTATAAATTATATTAAGTAACATCTGAAGTTTAACCCTCTGCATTTTCTGCTTTTTAAAAAGTAGATGTCATGAAGATGGCAAACAAAAAGGGATTTGTTAAAATTTACTAATTAATTTTGACTATATAAGGTTTTAGAAAAAGTCAATCACATTTTGGATTTTTTTTTCCAGAAAAAAAAATTACTGCAACTTTAAAAGTTTTCTCTAGATCTTAAGTAAAAACAAAATAACCCACCCAAAATCCAAGAAAATACAGTATGAATCAAAAGTCTGTACTGAGAACTGAACATTTACATAAACGTCTGACTTCACTAGAGAGAAAAAGCATCCAGTTAAGTAAAAGCAGTGTGTTTGGAAATTCTCAGGAAAGGCTAAATTACAAAAAGGTCATTACCTATGAGAGGAAACTCAGCTGTGTTGCCTCTAAAAGGGCTCAAGGGGAGTTTTATAAGAGCTGTTAACACTAAAGCTATGCTCTAAGAGGGGCTGATGTTCTTTGATTGGACCTCATTTTATTCATTCTTTCTACGAAGGCACGACAGTCAAGGCAATAATAATTTATGTGAATCAATTGTACATGAGAGGTTAAAACAAGTCAACTAAATATAACATAATAGCACAAAGATGAAGACTACAATTTAACACAAACACTGTGCATTCCAAACATTACAACACACTAGCATCCAACAGCATCTATACCTTTTCCTACTCATCGAAATACACTTTCTACAACTGCAGTCAGTTGATACATTTTGCTGTTACCTAGAGGGCTGGCTGAAAGCCCCTGTCCTCACAGGTATCACTAGAAAATAAAGAAGCAGGAACATAAATCTGTAATTGAAAAATCTCAAGCCAGATTACGCTACAAGAATCAAGATCAAGAACGTAAGGGAAGTTCCACAGGATGTTCCCTTATAGAAATATACAGGCTGTGCAGTGGAATGAAGTGCTAATAATCTTACCACTTCCCTCTTGCAAATCGTTGTTTTATTAAGTTACAGATGCTTTCACTAGCTAATTTTATAACTTCCATCATGAAACAGACAATTAGCATTGAAACACGTACATCCACATGGACATTCACAGTGTACTGCTGCCACATGCAAAAAACATCAGAAAGCTTGCATCTCTTGGTCTTACTCTGTGAGTAAGCATGCAGAGACATTATGATATGAATGACAGTATCACACTGCCTTGGGTTTATTTTTAAACCACCTCGGTTTAAAACTCAATACTATATAGTAATCACTAGGCAAAAACTATGCTAACTGGAAAAGGAGAAGTTCCAGCTTGTCAATGTGATAGCCACTTTGTTTCTTTCTGCCGTTCAGCTTTACGTTATTACCTTTCGAGACAACTATAGATGCATAAACCTTGTGTATTAACTTCTAAAGACTAGTAATATCTCTCTATTCTCTAATCTAGAAGACTGAATCGATGATACTATGCAAGTGAATGTGAAAACAGCACTTAATCCATTTGCTATGCCATGTGTAAAAACCATTCTTTCAAATATATTTCTAAACATCTTTTCTGCAAAATGTGCTTCACAAAAAAAACCATGAGAATATAGTACAACATGCACACCGTATCACAGCTGACCTAGCCTGACCTGCAGAACTCCTCTGTAGCTTTGTATTTTGTGAACATTACAAATATCCCAAATGTATGCCATATGAAAGTGTGGCATCTAGTGTGGGCTAGATGAGTGGACAGTGAGGTGGATTGGCTGGATGGCCCAGCTCAGAGGGTTGTGGTGAATGGCGCAGAGTCAAGTTGGAGGCCTGTAGCTAGTGGTGACCCCCAGGGGTCAGTCCTGGGTCCAGTCCTGTTCAACGTATTCATCAGTGACCTGGAGGAAGGGACAGAGTGCACTCTCAGCAAGTTTGCTGATGATACTAAACTGGGGGGAGTGGCTGACACATCAAAGGGCTGTGCTGCCATTCAGAGGGACCTGGACAGGCTGCAGAGCTGGGCGGAGAGGAACCTCATGAAGTTCAACAAAGGCAAGTGCAAGGTCCTGCACCTAGGCAGGAATAATCCCATGCACCAGTACAGGCTGAGGTTGACCTGCTGGAAAGTAGCTCTGCAGAGAAGGACCTGGGAGTCCTGGTGGACAGCAAATTAACCATGAGCCAGCAATGTGGCCTGGTGGCCAAGAAGGCCAATGGTCTCCTGGGGTGCGTTAGGAAGAGTGTTGCCAGCAGGTGGAGGGAGGTGATCCTGCTCCTCTCCTCAGCCCTGGGGAGGCCTCACCTGGAGTGCTGTGTCTAGTTCTGGGCTCCCCAGTACAAGAGAGACATGGCACTCCTGGAGAGAGTCCAGCGGAGGGCTACCAAGATGATCAGGGGACTGGAGCATCTCTCCTCTGAAAAAAG